GATGGGAATGATGCAGTAGAGAGAGAAATTGTGTTATGGTAGGAAAGAGGGAATGACAATAGGTGCTAAATCTGTGAGTGACAGGAATCAGGTTTCGGTACAGAAATGAATGAACTAACCAACTAATATCCAAACTACTAGGAAAACAAAGGCTATGTTCTTCTACTCTAATTCTCTGTGATGAGAGTCTAACTCAAATTTTCCCCTCCAGAACTTGTCACTTTTCACATCTTTCAAATAAACATCTGTACCCATATTCCCTCATTCCTCTGACCTTACCCTGAATATCCATGTGTCATCTACTTACCTGACTCATTAAGCTTTCACTGAAACTCACTTGTCTGCGATCGCTGTCCAAACCCCATTCAGTGTCCTCTAGATTTGCAAAAGCTGCTTTTCTACTCATTCCCATGCTTTGCAATCAATGTAAAACCATAAAACCTCCGCCTTTAACTTAAGTACATCTCCCATTAAGTATTGGTCAGTTCTATCTAACTTACACTGGCATCCATCATTTAGGTTACCTAAGCATTGTTTTAACCAAGAGTACCACTATTCCTTCCATGACAAATGAACACGTATAAATAGATAGCCTACTTTTCAGCTCTATTTCACATAATTCCCTTACACAATCACAGAACATCCTGTAAGAGTGTGTGTGTGTGTGTGTGTGTATCAGGACATAAAATTCACTATGCCATATGTTATATTCTAAGTCAAGAGACTTCACAATGTAATGAGTTTCCAAGAACTAAAATGAATAATCACAAAATAGCAATGTTGTTAACACTAGACCAGAAAACTTCAAATCTAATATTCTTTACTTCCATAAACATTTCAGCTCTACTATAAATTTGACCAAGTTGGCTCTTTTGTATTTAGTATATATACATAGACACACATTCAAAGAAAAAGCCACTAGCTGAAGACTTTGATTTTATTCTTAATACTAATACTTAATAAGCTAAAACATTATAAGTACGGTACTCATCTTACCACAAGATCTGACTGAAAAACAGTTTTCATTGTAAAGCACAAATGCTTTTTGTACTACATGCTGAACGGACTCCTTGCAGTAAAAATCCATAAATTCTAATGATCTTATAAAAATGTCAGTAGTATTGTAAATAAAATAGTTTTAAGCATTTTAATCTCTGTATCAGGGTTTAAAATGCAGTAAATGGTTCTGAGATACTTCATAAAATAGATGTCTATTTCAAACAGTATTTTTTTTAACCTAGGTTCTTTTCTTAGAGGAGTCTTCAACAAAATATGTGTATTTTCATCCCAAGTCACAGTGTGCCACCTAGTGCTGTATGGAGATTTTACAGAGGCCTGTTCAAATACTTAATGTTTCAATTAAAAGTATCAATATGAGTCCTGAGTGAAAGTTTTTATGTTAAAATCTTACAGTACATAATCTAAGAAGGTAAGTGTTCAGAATAGTCACCAAAGAGGCTAGGTACTTCTAAGAATTGCTCTCAGACAAAGAAACTTCTCTTAGGTTTAAAAAATCTAAATGATTTCCATTTTAACAACTTTCCCCATAATCTTGAAAAAGTTACAAGTACTATTTACTAAATGTCCATGTATCTGCCTCCATAAAACTTTCTACTTTATACAAATTCTTCAAAATCCATTCATACCACTACTTGCCCATAAAATGAAATTCCTTTGTCTTTTTTTTCCAATGTTTTTCAGCTTTCTGAATGATTCAGAGAAGAACCTTTCTCTT